ATCGAAATTTTGATCATCATGTCAATCACGAGATTGTTGATCATACCGGCCAATAAAAACAAACTATCCCTATGCTTGGTGATTCTAAAAAATTGATTACTATGCATTGGCTCTCACAAAAGTGTGATTATATAAAGATGTGATTATAATTAGTGTGATTACAGAGAGAACCCGACTGTAATCAATATTCAATCACAAGTTTTCCATTTTTAAAAGGTTATAAATTATAAACAGTAAATAAGGTTGCGTCGTTAATACTGACGGGAAGTTAATTGAATGTACATGTATATGCCATTTTCATTTTCGGAGGGTAATCTGGACGCCATTTTTTATATTTGAGAAAGATTCATCGGCAGATCGTCAATTTGTCACAACAATAATTTCATTAATAAATAATAATAAATAATAATAATATTTCAACGTGTAATATTTTTCGACCACTGATCGCGCAAACGTAATACTATTTGAATTATAATTGGTTAGATTAAAATATTTTTTAAGAACTCAGAAACCTTTATCAGACAGCCGAGAATACTTTCTCATTTGTAAATTTTTTTAAAAAAAATCATAGGTCAATTTTCAGATTAAATCGGATAAAAATAGAAAATAGACGAATTTACTATGTTCTTTTATCATTTTAAAATTCAACCTCCTTCAAACAAAATTATAAATTTTTAAAATAAATAATAAAAAATCAATGCATGTTTATTTAGAGTCAAGATTAATTTTTCTTTAATTTAGAAATAATTAAGAAAAAAATTTTTTGTTTGTTAAATTTACTACGTTTTTGGGTTCCGTCTCGCTAACAAATATTATACATATCTCAAATTTTTATTAATGAAATTGTTTGGTTCTTACACGAATCACGAATTAAAGAAGATATTTAAGTATTCATTAATTAAAAAGGGTAATTAAAAATATGTATATATATATTTGCTTAGATCTATGTATTTACAAAACTGAAATCTAAGGGTCATAATTAATAAGAATATGAAACTATTAAATTTATATTCACAAATCTACAAAGAATGAACAAGAATTTTGTTTGTTAATAGTGATAAAAGTAGTTTTTTTTCCATAGTATGGAACTATTTTTTGTTCAATGGGTATAGGTTTTAGATAATATTCCAAAGGTAATTTAGAGTCATCGGATGTATCTTCATCATCATCACTTCGGGTTTGTTCAAATTTATTATTAAATTCGAAGAATTCTTGAATGTTAGAAGTAATTTCAAATGAGCACGAGTTCTTCTTAATTGAATAAAAATTTTCTCTAATGTGGTATGATGGTAATTTGCGATTTTCATGAAGTATTGGTTTCAAAATATTTTCTAATGATACAAAGATGAATTCGGTTTCTTTATTAACGTCTTCAAAGAATCCAGAGTCACGTCTGACGATTTTATTGAAAGTCATTTTTTTAAGTAATTGAGAATTAAAATTGGTAAGAAATAATTAGAAATTAATTGAAAATTTTTGAATTTTTGAAGTTGATTTTATTTTAAACTTTTAGGCATCCTTCCTTGGTTATATTTATAAAAAAACGAATTTTTACAACCATAACTTTATAAATTTTGTGAAATTTTTTCCACGTAATCATTTATCATAAGCATAAAGATATCTCCAAATAAATATTAGATCTAGATCATTGTTATAACTTCATCATAACAATAATTATAAAAGTTTAAAATAAAAACGACGATTTATTAGGTTCCAAACTAATCAACTAGGTGGTGATTTAATCTTACTCATGCGCGTACAGCAATGTTGTGTTCCATGTCTACGTCCTTGCTAAATATTAATATTATTGATATTTTTGAAAATTTATCTAAAATCAATTTTGAACAATTTTAATTAATGACTTAAAATAGGTTTTTATAATAAACCTTTTCATTATTTACGTTTTAAAGTAAGTAATTTTGTTCAACAGTGTCCTTTGATAATACAGACGTACAGTATAATTTATATTAAGTTTTTTTTTTTTTTTGAAGCATTTATTGAGGTTTATTTTATTTTATTAATTGGAAAAAAATAATAATACGAATAATGATTTTTAATTAATTAAAATTTCCGTGATGCATTAGCAATTAGACAATACGTGATTAAAGTTAATGCATTTCTGCGGTAAAATTTTTTTTTAACGCGAATTAAACAATACATGATTAAAGTTTATGCATTTTCTGCGGCAAAAATTTTTTTAACGCGAATTTAACAATACATGATTAAGTTTATGCATTTTCTGCAGCAATAACCAAACTATATTGCATTAAAATAATATGTCATTTTCTACTAATACAATACAAATAATAAAAAATATTTACACAAATTTTTTAAATAGATGTTTTACCAAAGAAAATTTTAGTTCCAAAATAATCAAGGAGTTAATGTTAACTAACATTTAATTAAAGTTTAAAAAGCTTAATTATGTGCGTGTTTTAGGTTCCAAGTTAATCGAAAAAAAAATAATAATCGGGATCTAATTAATAAATTTATTAATAATTTCTTTTTTTTTTTGTATTGTATTTTTATTATGAAAAAGAAGAATCTTAAATAAAGTTATAGTAAAAATTCTTTATAAATACAAAGACCCACGACAATAAATCAATTTCAAAATATTCAATTAATTTTATTCTCTTAATACCTTTACCATCAATTCAAATTCTTAATCACCTTTTTTTTTAAAAAAAAAAAAAAACAAAAAATCATTAAAATGGCTTTCAATAAAATCGGCAGACGTGATTCCGGATTCTTTGAAGAAGAAATTGATAAAGATTTGGAATTTTTTATTTCATCATTCGAAGATATTTTAGGACCAATACCACACGAAAATCGCAAAGTACCATCGTACCACGTTCGAAAAAATTTTTATGCAATTAAGAAGAATTCGTGTTCATTTGAGATTACTTCTAATATTCAAAAATTCTTTGAATTTAATAATAAATTCGAACAAACCTGTCGTTGTTATGATGATGATGACACTGATTCATTTAAATTACCTTTGGAATCTTATCTAAAACCAATACCTTTCGAACAAAAAATCGTTCCATACTATGAAAAAAAAACAACTTCTATCCCTGTCAACAAACAAATTTCTTGTTCATTCTATATTGATATCAATTCAATATAATTTAAATATTCTAATCTAATGACTTTAATATTTTAATATTTATACTGCTTTTCTAAACCTGTTGTGTATGTTAAATTAAGATATTAATTAAGAAATCGATTACTTGTAAATAAATGTATAATAATTTCTAGATATATAGAATTTTTATTTTCTCCTACTCTTTAGAAGAATTTAAATTACCTGAATGTCAATAGATAATAAAGCAAATTTTATGATTGATCGTTTAATCTTTCATTATAATCTCACGTGCTAATTTTATTTTATTTTTTTTTTTTTTGCAAAAATTTTTCTACCGTAAAAAAAAAATCGATGAATGACTATATCAGATATGGATAACGGAAGAAACTTTTGTACAGAATTTTCAAAAATATTTGAATATTGCCAAGCACAAATAAAAACAGACCAGACCCTAAGCCGAGCAAAGATAGATTTGGAGCCATCAATACTTCTATATTTTCTGTTGATTTATTCTGTTTCATTCTAGTTAGAAATTATTGATTAACTGAAAAAGGAAAGAAAGAAAAACAAGAAGAAAAAAGGCAAAAATAATAAAAAAGATTTTATAAAAAAAAAAGTGACTAAACCTACTCTGTACATATTAAAAAAATTATTTAAAAATCAAGTGTTGTAAATTCACCGCCCGTGCGTTTTATTTGTTTATTTTATTTTATTTTTTTTATTTGGCTTATTTCCGGGCAGGTTTTGTTAAAAAAGAATTAATTTTATTGTCTTATAAAAAAAAATAATGAATCGAAATTTTTAGGATTTTTTCAAGATTTAATCTGATTTTTTTTTTTTTAAAAAAAAAAAAAATACTTCTATTTACTGTAAATCAATTTGTTTTTTTAATTGTTCTCCAATTTTGTCAGTTCGTTTCTATAAAAATTATATTTATTTTTATTTGATCTGGAATTATTAGATTCGTACTTGTGTACTTGTGTACTTGTGTACTTGTGTACTTGTGTACTTGTGTACTTGTATTGATCGAAAAAGGTTAGAGATTTTATTGAAGGCTTGTAAAAATTTTTTATCAATTCAAATAAAGTCAAACAAATCGAATCAAATCAAATATAAGCCGAGAGAAAGATTTTTCGAACTTCCCATTTATTTTTTTTTTATCATTTAAAAGATAGTTCTTAAAATAAAAATGACAACATATCATTGTTGGGGCTTGAAATGTAATACTATATTTAGAAAGTTATATTACGTATTATTAAAAATGTAAGAATTAAAAAGAATATAAATTTTCAATTGATGAGTTTCTTTTTTTTTTAAATTAACAAAGCCACCTTTGTTGATTGATTGACGGATTCATAATTTCTTTTTGAAATAATTGAATCAGCTTTCATACAAAGAGAAAAAAAATTGATATTCAGCCATATTTAGCCTCGTGATTAGGTGTTTAACCTGATTGGCATTTGACAGAATATGTGGTGGCTTCTTTTCTAAAAAAAAATAAATCTGCGGAGGCTTATTTCCATAATACGATCGATCCAAATTAATAATAGTGGCTTGGCAATTAATAATTTATAATTATTATTATAACATAATAATAATATAATAAGAAAATTAAAAAAAAAAGAATTGTAGAATTCTATTTATAAAACTATATAAAGAACGTCGTCTTTCCTCATCGTTTTTTTTTTTTATTTGAACAAAAAAACTTTTTCTCGATTATTTATTGCTGAAAAAAATTATTGAGCGAACAATAATTATATTTATATATTTTTTATTAAGAAATGCAATAAATAAATAAATAAATAATAAATAAATAATGATGAAATTCGCCAGACAATTATTCTTCATACTTTTCGTTATATCGTGCCTTGCAATTTTGGTGTATACTGTGCCAGTTGAGAAAAAAGATGTGCATAAAAAAAGGGCCGAAGAAACATTTGTAGTTCCAATTCCGACGGAATTTCCAACTGAATTCCCAACTGGACCACCAACAGATGAAGCTCCAACAGATGAAGCTCCAACAGGTGAATCTCCAACACCAACAGAAGAAACTCCACCACCAGAAACTCCAACAGATGAAGAGACACCACCACCAGAAACAGAAGAGGTTCCAACAGAGATTCCAACAGGTTCGGAACCAACGGGAGGACCATCTCCATCGGGAGGACCATCAGGAAGACCATCAGGAAGACCATCAGGAGGACCATCGGGAGGACCATCGGGAGGACCACCAGAGACTCCAACAGGTACAGCGCTGCCAACGGATGAACCAACTCAATCGGGAGGACCACCACCATCAGGGGGACCACCATCAGGGGGACCATCTCCATCAGGGGGACCATCTCCATCAGGGGGACCATCTCCATCAGGGGAACCATCTCCATCAGGGGGACCACCTAGTCCTTAATAAGCCAATATTACTTCTATATTTTCTGTTAATTTATTCTGTTTTACTCTAGTTAGAAATTATTGATTAACTGAAAAAGAAAAGAAAGAAACGAAGAAAAAAGGCAAAATTAATAAAAAAGATTTTACAAAAAGAATAACCAAACCTGCTCTGTACATATTAAAAAAAAAAAATAAAACAAACAACGAATAAAAAGCACGGACGGGTGAATTTACGAACTTGATTTTAAATAATGTTAAATAATTTTTAAATAATTGTTTTTTTATTTGGCTTGTTTCTGGTAGGTATTTGTTAAAAAAAGAATTAATTTTTATTATCTTATTAAAAAAAATAATGAATCGAAATTTTAGGATTTTTTTTTAAGATTTAATCTGAATTTTCAAAAAAAAAAAAAAAAAACACTTCTAAATCAATTTGTTTTTTTTTCAATTGTTCACCTATTTTGTCAGTTCGTTTCTATAAAAATTTTATTTATTTATTATTTGATCTGGAATTATTATATTTGTACTTGTGTACTTTTGTTGTATTGATCGAAATAAGTTAGAGATTTTATAAATCGAATCAAATCTAATATAAGCCGAGAGAAATATTTTTCGAACTGCCCATTCATTTTTTTTTATTACTTAAAAGATAGTTCTTTTTTTTCATAAAATAAAAATGACAATTGTTGGGGCTTGAAATGTAATACTATATTTAGAATGTTTTATTACTTATTATCAAAAATGTAAGAATTAAAAAGAATAATAAGATAAATTTTCAATGATTTTTCTTTAAAATTAACAAAGCCACCTGTAAATGTTGATTGATTGACGGCTTTCATAATTTCTTTTTATTCAGCCATATTTAACCCCGTGATTAGATGTTTAATCTGATTGCCATTTTTTATTTTTTTTGTATAAATGATAGAATATGTGGTGGCTTCTTTTTCTAAAAAAAATAAATCTGCGGAGGCTTATTCCCATAATATGATCGTTTAATTCGATCAAAATTAATAATAGTGGCTTGGCAATTAATAATAAATTTTAATCGGACTTTTTTCGGCAATTTTTATTATTCTTCTGTTATAATTATTATTATAATAGAAGAATAATAATAAGAAAATTTTTAAAAAAAAGAATTGTAGAATTCTATTTATAAAACTATATAAAGAACGTCGTCTTTCCTCATCGTCTTTTTTTTTTATTTGAAAAAAAAAATTTTCCTGATTATTTATTGTTGAAAAAAATTATTGAGCGAACAATAATTATATTTATATATATATATATTTTTTAAGAAATGCAATAAATAAATAAATAAATAAATAAATAATAATAAATAATGATGAAATTCTCCAGACAATTATTCTTCATAATTTTCGTTTTATCGTGCCTTGCAATTCTGGTGTATACTGCACCAGTTGAGAAAAAAGATGTGCATAAAAAAAGGGCCGAAGAAACATTTGTAATTCCAATTCCGACGGAATTTCCAACTGGATTCCCAACTGGACCACCAAATGCACCAACAGAAGACCCTCCAACAGATGAAGCTCCAACACCAACAGAAGAAACTCCACCATCAGAAACTCCAACAGAAGAAGAGCCACCACCAGAAACAGGGGCTCCAACAGGTTCGGAACCAACGGGAGGACCATCTCCATCGGGAGGACCACCTCCATCGGGAGGACCATCTCCATCGGGAGGACCATCTCCATCGGGAGGACCATCTCCATCGGGAGGACCATCTCCATCGGGAGGACCATCTCCA